CCCCAATGCAAAAAAATAATAAATGCACAATTTTTCTTGAATGAATATGTCTGCATTTCTTTTATTAAAGTGGAATTTATTTTTCACCTAGGTATTAATAAATCATATTTACAGCAAGTGGTTCTGCAGTCTCGCATAACATACAAGACAAACTGTGCAGCTCCTGGGATGGGGGACTGGTACTGCAATGCTCAGCAACCAATTTCAAGAACTTATAGCCTGTTATGGGTCCTTCTGGTGCTCCAGTTTTTATTTAATCAGCCCCAGTGCTCTGAATTTCTATATTTTTCATCCAGGTTAAGCAGTCAAAGGGTTAAAGAGTCAGATGCCTAGAGAGGCGGTTGTAGAAAAATGCCAGGAATCCTTCCAGAGGAGATGGTTTTTGACATTTGTTTCCAGTAAGGGTTGGTATGCACTTTGAGGACACACTTCTACAGAAGCTAAACAAGATCCAGTTCTTAGACTGAGAGGAACATTCTCGCCAACATAAGCAGCTAAAGACTACATTACACCATAAACTCCTGGTAAATGTTGTCACTACTGTATAGTTACAGACTGAAACTATATTTCCATGGTGGGGAAGTTGACGTAGAATTCAGGAGCCAATCAGTCTAGTCAAGAAGCCAGGAAATACTTGTCTGGATTCATATCTCTGCTTCTTGGTAACCTGTGCAAATTACTGTAGCAAGGTACACTAAGGCACGAAAGTGCTCCCCAACGCATCTTGTCGGGGCACTTCAACGTGCTTTAAAAAGTACAGGTACTTTACCATCTCCCTACAGACCCTGGGAGAGACTGATCACATCTGCTTAAAGCCCTGATGACGTGTTGGCTACTCTGCTTGAATGTCCCCCTGACCCTAATGGAATAAAGTTGCATCTGAACTGGTTTATTTGGTGTGGTGCTTCAATTCGTACATCTACTACACTGCAGTATGTTGGCAGTCCATTCCAAATTATGTGTATTAAGTACGGTAATGCACCTTAACAGTATGAACCCGCCCTTTTGGTGGCATCTCAAAGTAGTCCCCAATGAACATGAATGTAGTTGCATCTGTACAATGATTATGGAGGATTGTTGCTGGTTACCCCAAAGAGGATACAACTCTATTGTCATCAATTTGTCCATGCTACCCAGCTTAACATGAGGTCAAGTGCTACATGGTCTTTGCAGGTGTGTTCATCACAACTCAAGCCCAACTCCAGCCAAACCAATCAAAAACAAATTCTGGCGTTAGGCTTTGAAGTGGAGCTTGGGCACTCTCTTCTTGTTGGGACGGCAACTGTCCGTGTTCTTACTTTATGCCCCAGTGACAATATCACCAAGGCAGAAAGTGAAGGTATTCTCCCCAATGGGGACAGACCCAGAATGAGGTTCTAATTTAAACTAATGGCCATTAATGCTGGGCATTAGACAGAACAGGAAGTGAAGGAAAAGAAAATCCTGTTTCCGGTCTCATTGACCGGTGTAAATGAGGAAGGCTTAGAACCTCAACCAGAATTTTACTGATGTCCCCAAAATGGAGAGTATTTTTGTCCTACGCACAGGTAACTTCCTGTTTAGTAAACGAACAGAAAATTCCTGTCACTTTCAAGCCTGCTTGAAGTTTAACACGGCAGCCAAAAAAGAACAAGCTGCACAGGAAGGCTGTACGAGTGCCAAAGATCTCATCCTGTAACGGTTTCTCAGCAGCTCTTTTTTGTTTCAACAAAGGGGCCGGGAACATCAGAGGGCGGGATATCATGGGGGGTTCTATGGAGAACGCAACAAAGCAGAAACAGTTAAAGAAAGAGTCTTCAAGAACAGCCTTCAGAACATATAAGAACTCAGGCCAGGCAAAGAGCGGTTTTGCAGATTGTGGGATATATTTGGATTCCTCAGATCCCGTGAGTCATTCGCCCACATACTGCACGTCTGAATCATAAACCAAGCAAAACAAGCTGTCAGGAAGCGTAAAAGCTTTTATATTCTAGCGATGAGCAGATCAGTCGCACAATGCGGAATATGTGATATGGAGGAAGAAGCCCTGTAAACGTTGCAAAGACATGGCCGTCATCATCATCTCACACTGCAGGCTAAAGTGAGATTATCAGTGCACAGAATATCGACCTTCATTATATAACACAACAGGGCCACTGTGACTGTTATAAGGTCAGTTCACCAAAACATTGATCATTTAGTTACAGATGGTGAGATGAGACTCCCACTGCCTTCTTTTATCTCTTGCAGATCTCTCTGCCATTGTTCCTGGCCATGTTTGAATCAACACTAGAAAGGTGGATGTCCCCTATCCTTCTGTAGCACCTGCACAAGACATGTGGTTGTGCCCAATGCTTATGTAGCACCTACACTGGAAATATGGGTGTCCCCAATCCTTCTGTAGCACCTACACTGGAGATGTGGATGTCCGCAATCCTCCTGTAGCACCAATGCTGGAGATGTGGTTGTGCCCAAACCTTTTGTAGCACCTACACTGGAGATGTGGATGTCCCCAGTCCTTCTGTAGCACCTACACTGGAGATGTGGATGTCCCCAATCCTTCTGTGGCACCTACACTGGAGATATGGATGTCCCCAATCCTTCTGTGGCACCTACACTGGAGGTATGGATGTCCCCAGTCCTTCTGTGGCACCTACACTGGAGGTGTGGATGTCCTCCGGTCCTTCTGTGGCACCTACACTGAAGATGTGGATGTCCCCAGTCCTTCTGTGGCACCTACACTGGAGGTGTGGAGGTCCCCGGTCCTTCTGTGGCATTTCCTTATAATTCTGTACATTATAAACACAGAAGGGAATTTCTGGTTTCCTCCATGTTGGTGAAGGCTTCTTGCAACGACAGGAAGCACACACCAACTCCCTTCTCTGCTCTCTTCCTCAATAATCCACTTCCTCTTTCTTGACTCTCCATTTAAGTGTCTCTGCTGCTAGAATAGAAATGAAAAACAAAATTCCCTCTGTAAAGAAGAGAGTTCATACTTCGCTCCTAAGCCCTGATCTGCAACGGAGAGATACAGCTACCGGAAGAATCTGCAGAAAGTGGCACACTACTGGATGTTAACACAAGTGTCAATGGTTCAATCAATCACTGTGGTGATGTAGGGGCCAGTGGGAGGAGCCAGAGAATATAGGGTTCAGGCATCTGACACACTCAAAAGTGTCAGATTCAGAAGATTCTTTAGGCAGTCGTACCTCTACAAATCAGCAGAGACTGGCAGGGTCATTTTATGGCCCCTTTTTTTTAACCCTCTGCCATTATCCTCAGTCCCTTGCACTGTGACCCCTTGTCATTGTATTGGCTTTGCTGCAGGTGACCCAAGCTGCAATAGATTTGTCCACCGGGTTGGACAACAGTCTCATGTGTCATGACACAATCTGTCATGCCAGACTAAGTGTTCTTTGAGAGAAAATGATTAATCAGGCCAGTTAAGGAGATCTGAGCTTATGCCTGCTGGCCAAAAAAACTCTTCACAGCCATATTCTGCCCACTAGGCTGGCCGACATCTGATCTCCATGGCCAACTAATGATGGTTTCAGGGCTTTCCTTATCCTACTTAAGAAGGGACCCCCTCTGGCTAAGCAGCAGTAAAATGATCACCTTATAATTATTTGTACTAGAATACTCATTTGACACTGATAGAGATAGGGAACACAGGAGAGGAGGGATTAACTCTTCCTGTATCACTGGCCCTTACAGAAGCATTCAGAATTATTACACTGTATTAGGCCAGCCTTTCACAACCAAGGTTCCTCTTGAACTTGTTAGGGGTTTCTTGAGCAGAGAGCAGTGGTGACTTGATCTCCCACCAACAATGACGAGCAATAGGGGGAAATTTTCCTCTGACTACCAATGAAAGGGTTAATTTCTACTCTGACCACTAATGTTAGGGGACACCACAATGTTTTACTTTTCAGCAGACGGCTATTCATTTTCAAGATTACTATTGAAAATACATTTCTTGTATACAGCAGGTGGTATTCAAGTATATGTCCTAGGTGTCGCATACGCCAGGCACGCCATGCCCTGGGCGTCACGCACACCATGCCCCGGGTGTCACATACCCCAGGCACGCCATGCCCCGGGCGTCACATACCCCAGGCACGTGTTAAGGAGATCTGAGCTTATGCCTGCTGGCCAAAAAAACTCTTCACAGCCATATTCTGCCCACTAGGCTGGCCGACATCTGATCTCCATGGCCAACTAATGATGGTTTCAGGGCTTTCCTTATCCTACTTAAGAAGGGACCCCCTCTGGCTAAGCAGCAGTAAAATGATCACCTTATAATTATTTGTACTAGAATACTCATTTGACACTGATAGAGATAGGGAACACAGGAGAGGAGGGATTAACTCTTCCTGTATCACTGGCCCTTACAGAAGCATTCAGAATTATTACACTGTATTAGGCCAGCCTTTCACAACCAAGGTTCCTCTTGAACTTGTTAGGGGTTTCTTGAGCAGAGAGCAGTGGTGACTTGATCTCCCACCAACAATGACGAGCAATAGGGGGAAATTTTCCTCTGACTACCAATGAAAGGGTTAATTTCTACTCTGACCACTAATGTTAGGGGACACCACAATGTTTTACTTTTCAGCAGACGGCTATTCATTTTCAAGATTACTATTGAAAATACATTTCTTGTATACAGCAGGTGGTATTCAAGTATATGTCCTAGGTGTCGCATACGCCAGGCACGCCATGCCCTGGGCGTCACGCACACCATGCCCCGGGTGTCACATACCCCAGGCACGCCATGCCCCGGGTGTCACATACTCCAGGCACGCCATGCCTTGGGTAATAAATACTTTAGACAAACCATGTTCTTTATTCTCTTACTTAAAAGTTTCAAAAACTTACTCATGCCAATACACAGTGAGATGTGGGTATATTTTTAGCAGGGGTTCCCCCGAAACCTGAAAATTATTTCAAGGGTTCCTCCATGACAATAAGTTTGAGAAAGGCTGATATATGTGTTGCAGACAGACATTCTCAGTGTTGGTTACCTCGCGTTGGTTCCTTCACTGGAGAGGAGAGTGGAGTATCTGCTTCAGGCGTGTCAAAGTTGCCCTCGGAGTCGGAGCTGTGGAAGACAGAAAACCGGTTTTGTTAGATTCTTCTCATTGTTCCTAAAAGATAAAGCTCACTTATCTAAAAAGCACATATGGGAACATCAGCTAGTGAAAAAGGAACACTTCTAATTAGGGCCTAATTATGAGGAAGTAGCAAATGAAACATTGTAGATCACCATCTGCTCCCCTCATACAATTACCACAGTGTCAATAACATCAATGAAGTCAAAGTTTAGGAATCAAAGACATCACAATCCATCATCTGGAGCCAAGTTTCAACATTATTTGGAAATAAGGGATGTCTAGGCACTGTTGGGTCAAGGTTCTCTAGCACCCAAGGGAAAAAGGCCTAAGTGCCCCCCCGCCCCTTCCCCCCCTCCATGAACTGTGAACTA